ATTCCACTGTTGTCTCACCTAGCTCTTCCTTCACCATCATGAAGGCAGGCAGATGGGAAAGCAGGTGTGGCCTTCATAGTTAGTTGTTCTTTGATGTGAAAGGGGCAGAACAGTCATTTAAACTTGATCCAACCTCCTTGCATCTTACAAAGTTAAACAGCTAAAAGAAGTAAAATAAGAAGGAATGTATAGTGCATATTGTGGAATGTATTGTGCATATTGGCAGGGTATACCTCCTTATGATTTGCCTGCTTGCTTCTTCTGTTTGATTGTTTCTTTGGAAGGGGGCTTTTTCTCTTGTGTTTCTGCCTTCTTCAATTTTGACTTACCAAATTTCTCGATCTCAGCCATACTGGGTTTGTCAAACATGGTTGCAGAGGAAGCAGAACAAGGCATGCAAGCCAGCGAAATCTGGTTTGCTCTGTCAGTACCACTGAGTGTGTGTTTCCATTTTTGTTTGTCTCAAGATATTTCTTCATTTTTCTTTTGGTTTATTCTTTGACCCAATGGTTGTTCAGGAGCTGTTTGATTTTCACATATTTGTGAATTTTCCAGTTTTTCTTCTTTTATTGATTTCTAGTTTCATACCACTGTGGCAGCAAACAATGCTTGATAGGATTTCAATCTGTTAAGACTTGTTTTGTGTTCGAACATCTGACCATTCCTGGAGAATGTTTCATGTGCACTCCAGAAGAATGTGTATTCTGTTACTGTTGCATGTAATGTTCTTGCGTATGTTTGTCAGGTCCATTTGGTCTAAAGTGTAGTTCAAGTCTGCTGTCTCCTTATTGATTTTCTGTCTGGGTGATCTACCCATTGTTGAAAGTGGGGTAGTGAAGTCTCTTACTGTTATTGTATTGCTGTCTATTTCTTCCTTCGGATTTATTGAAATTTGCTTTACATATTTAGTTGCTCCAATGATGGGTGAATATATACTCACATTTACACTTGTTATATCCTCTTAATAACTTGACTCTTTTATCATTATATAATGCCTTATTTGTCTTTTTCAGTTTTTGACTTAAAGTCTATTTTGTCCAAAATAATTATAGCTATAGTTGTTCTTTTTCAGTTTCTATTTGCATGGAATAGCTTTTTCCATCCCTCCACTTTCAGTCTATGTGTGTCCCTAAAGCCGTTGTGAGTCTCTCATAGGCAGTAATTTCTTTTTTTTTTTTTTTTTTTAAATTCATTCATCCGTTCTATAGCTTTTGATTGGAGAATTGAATCCATTTCCATTCAAGGTCATTATTGATAGGTAAGGACTTACCATTGCCATTTTGTTAATTGTTTTCTGGCTGTGTGCCTCTTCAACAGTGTCCCATGGCTCAGGAGGTAAGATGCTCATTCACTAAGCTCTCAAATTTCCCACGGAAGAAATCTCAGGCCAAGGAGGTCTCCCTTGGCACTGAGCTGTGCTGCCTAAGGGGGTGGGGGGTGTGATGTGGGTAAGGCAGAACTGTTCTTATCTTCTTCAATGTGTCTATTCTTGGATTTTTTGCTCCAATGGTGTGCGGGAACTTCTCCACTACACTCCTAGACTTCCACAAACATACTTGTTCATAGGTAGTTTTCAAAACTGATGCTTCTGTTGGGAAAAATAATAGACTATTTCATTGTCTTGCTGATGTCACTTCCTCCATTTTATTTTGAATTTTCTACTTACAATTCCTTTTTTTTGCTCCTTCCCATCTCTACTTCCCTTCTTTCTATTGAGTAATTGTGGTTTGTTTATTTTTTCCTTCCCTTTTTTTATATTGACTGGTTTGGAAATTATACTCAATTTCTTTGCTCTCCGTACTTTCTTGCATCTCACCTCTTTTTTTCTGAGTTTGGTTTTTATTTTCCTGAAGATAGTCTTTATAAGTTCTATCAGTAGAAGTCTGTTAGTAGTGAATGCTGATTTCCCCTGACAATATCTTTATTTCGCCCTCGATTTTAAATGATAGTTTAACTAGGCATGCAATTCTAAACTGACAATTGTAATTATTTTATTTCAGCATTTGGAGATATTATTTGATTGACTTCTAGTTTATTTTGTTGATACTGAGCGACCAGCTCTCATTCCTTTGTAAGTATTTTATCTTTTTCTTTCTGTTTAGGAACTTTTGTTTTTCCTTGATTTTAAATTTCAGTATAATGTGCTTAGATATGAATTTATTTTGTGTTTCTTTAGGGTATGTTCCCTGGAGTGAATTGCTGTGGCAGAGAAAATTTTCTTTTTCAGGCTTCCTAAATAACGTCAAATTGTTTCCCAGGATGAATATATCAATTCACACTCCTATGAGTTCTTGCATCTTTATGTCATGAATTTTTGCATGCTTATTTTTGTTAGCAAACAGAAGAAGATGGACTCTCAATGCCCCAGATAAGAAAGGACTAGTTAAAACTGCATGTTAATCCTTTTACGTAAAACAATGACTGGATAATTTTTAAAGACATTTAAAAACAGATCTCTTTTTGTTTGGTCCTTCTCTACTCCTTGAAAATAAACTTTGTTGAAAAACCCTTCTGTTTGATATCTGCCTCCTGTGTTCTGAATTTTTTGCTTATTATCTTACAAAATCAACCTACTCATTAATTTGGAACTTGGCAAAGAAATGGAAGTCTTTTCTAGTCTTTGGCCAAAAATTCCCTGAAACAATATTTAGAAGTTCTATTTGGTACTTTCCAAATTTGCCTACTCCATACATATATTGATTTTTATGGATTCTGTTTCTTCTTTTATCACAGCAATACTTTTTTTTCTTTTCAAAATGAAAATAGCTTTTATATGATTCTAAAATTATCCTTTTTTTGATTCTAAATATAATAATGCCTACAATCACTTAATGTTTCTGATCGCTCTCATCGCTTAAAGTGACTGCATTCTCTTCAGTATTTAGGGAGAACTGCTTCTATGCCATTTTAGATAATTAGGTAGTTGGGTAACTGTTTCTTTTGTAGGGGTTGTTGTCTTATAATAGCTTAGAAACAGGAGATTCTACAATTACATGCTATCTGTTTGTATTTTTTTAGGAAGATTGAAAAAAAACCCACTAAGATACAAAGTCCTAAAAGCTCATATCCTTTTATTTCTTTTTATAAGGAAATAATTAATGTATCAACACAGGAGAATAAGTGTTTTTGCAGGGTGTAGCAAAATTAATCTGCCTAACTGCTGTACAAATAACACATTATCTTGTTCATAACTGAGAGAACCATATCTATTGTGATCTGAAAAACAGATTGAAGCCAGAAGTAAAATGTTCTGTAATCAAGGTGACTTTATTTAAGGAATAAACAAAGCTCTTCTCTGTGCTTTTGTAAAACTTAACCTGTAAAATGTGGACTTTTTAAAAACTATTTTTGATGTCGTGAGAAATCTCTGATTTAATATAGAAACCAATTTGAAATTATTTAGTGTAAAAATGTTTATAGAGATATTGTAAATATGTTTAATTACACTAGCATTCATAGTAATATTCCCAATTCTGGCTTTTATTTACGACTTTTTAAAAGGCAGAATTGTGTATTATTTAAGTTTTAAATATCATCACAATCGATAAGAAGTTTAAAGTATGTAGAATATATAGTCATAGGATACATAGAAGAGGAAAGTACTTTTGATGGTCTTTTTAAAAAATAATTTGATTCTTAAATTTCTTGTATTTGAATTTATTTGAGTAGGTAATATTCACAAGGTTCAAATAGAAAAGGCACTAAAAGATACACAATACAGGAAAAGTATTTTCCCCATTCCTGTGCCCCAACTACTCAAGTCTCCCCAAGCAATCAAAGTTACAAGTTATATCCGGTGGTATTCTACTGATATTCTATAGTCTCCCCCCTCCCTTTTTAAAAAGATGATGATAAAGAATTTGAAGCCTGTAAAGACCCTTTTAAAGACGTTTGGGCCGGCCTGTGGCTCACTCGGGAGAGTGCGGTGCTGATAACACCAAGGCCCTGGGTTTGGATCCCACATAGGGATGGCCGGTTTGCTCACTGGCTGAGCGTGGTGCTGACAACACCAAGTCAAGGGTTAAGATACCCTTACCGGTCATCTTTTAAAAATAAAATAAAATAAAATAAAGACGTTCTATTACTTGGAAGCAGAAGTAGGACCAGAATCTGTATCTTCTGACATTTTAGTTCAGGACTCTTACATCTTTGCACTCTTTAAAGTGGCGAGTTGGCATCTGGTTAATCAGTATGAATGGTCCAATCCCGTAATTTAAATTTTAAAGTAGATTTGTTTAAAATGGGTACAACGAGGAGGCGTAAGGCTTATTAGAAGGGCGGTAGGAGACGAGATTTTTGGTTTATCAAAAGGAAGCAAGTGTTTTAAAAGTTGACCTAGGGGCTGAATCACAGGGTTTGACTTTGGCTGAGCCCAGGGGATGGCGCAGTGTCAGGCCAGAGTGCTGATGTCAACACGGCTCCGAGCCAGGCCTCCGGCCGCTTGACTTTTAACTACGCGACCCACCCATCCCGACCTCCGCCCGGACACGGTGCAGAGGGGATGAGGCCTCGTCCTCGCCTCCTATCCGGTCGAGTGTGGCGCAGGGAAAAGACGCGTCGGCGCCGGAGCCAGGCCCGCCCAGGGGCAGCCCGCCAGCCAGGTCTCGGGAGACGGTCCCGCGCCCTCCAGACCCCACGGCCTGCACTCCTGGGGGCACGTGGCCGGCGGCACCAGCCTGCTCCGTCACCTGCCAAAGGCGGCTTCTTCAGCCACGCTCCAGTTCCCAGTGGCCACCCCACCCTACCCTGCCCTTCCATTCCCTTCCCTTCCCTCTCAGGAAAGACCGATCACGCGGACAAGAACGAGACTCGCGAGCTGGGCGTTTCTCCGAGCCCGGCTGGAGCCATCAGCGCGACCCGGCGTGGGAGTGGGAAGGAGCCTTAACAGGCAGCTCTGTGGCTCAATGGCTTTTCTCGGCTTTCGGGTGCGGGCCAATGAGGCGCGTGGGGCGGGACTTCCGCTTCGCCTCTGTGTTGTCCGGGCTCCGCCTCTGGGCTGTGGGGGTCGGTGCGGATATTCAGTCATGAAGTCGGGGTAGGGACTTCTCCCGCAGCGACGCGCCCCGCGAGCCTGCTTGTGTTCTGGGGGCCGGGCTTCCAGGTAAGAGTCTGTTCGGCTCCGCGGCGTCGGGCGTCGGGTTGTCCCCCGCGGGGCCTGGGCCGGAGAACACACCCCCCTCGCTGGCCCTCGAGCCCGGAGTCGGCCCGGCTGCTGAGGTCTTTGCTGCTCCTTCCCAGCTGGGCGCTGAGTAAATTAGGTTTTTTTGCAAAAGGATTAAGAGAAGCCCGGCCCTCGGCGGACTGAGTCACCGCCGCACCCCCGTCCCGCGAGCGTGTGTGTTTAAAGTCGTGGGTCATGGTTTTGCTTCTTACGTTCCTGCGGCGGCAGGAGCGGAGAAGATGTTTGGAACGGTTGTGTTGGTCAAGCCCTTGCCGCAAAGTCCTGGGGTGGAATTGCTCGACTTTAGTTGCAGGGGCTGTTTTGTCTTTGGATAAAAAAGAGGACAGCCACTTTTTTTCTTTCTTATTCCTACCCCCAACCCCATTTTTCTTTCCTGGAAGCTCAGATTGCAGGTTGGGACGTGACCGTGCTAGGGCCAGATGCTCCGTCCCTGCCCTCTTAAAGTCACAACTCTCCCAGGACGCTTATCAAGTTGACCTGCAGTGATGAAAGAATTCTGTCCCACAGAGGGAGTGGGCAAGACACAGAAGCCAAGCGATAGTGTCCCAGAAGCACTCACGCAACTTTGGTGGCAGCCACTGAGTGTTCTCTGCCAGTTTTTAGTAAATTCCTCTATTTTGTCTTAATCTGGCAATAGTAAATTTCCAAAATTATCTTTTCATCCTCAGTTTCAGCACCGTGGGCAGCTGCTCAAGTCCTGTGTTGTTGCCCCAAACCTGCCCAGCTGTTACTATTTGTCAGTGATGCAGCAGGAACTGTGGAACTAATGCATTCCTTTCAACAATGATGTGTTGTTCTCCACGGAGAATATCTGCAGTTTTCGATACAATATAAGTAAGGTGGGCGTGCCTCCAAAGAATTCTAGTAGAGAAAACTAACAATTCAAAATTTAAGGAAGAGCTTTCAAAGGTTTAATCCATTTAAGGACAATTTTTAATCTAGGAGGATTAGCTGTCTTTCAAAGTAACAAAACTGGACTGTGGTAGCAGGTAAAATGAACTTTAAACAGGAAGTAAGAAGTGTAGTGCGGTGCTGTAGTGCAGGGCCAATAAAGATTTGTTAGTGGATTTTGGAGTCAATTTAGTGCATAGACATAAGCATTAAAAAGAAAGGAAGAAAGACAGAAAAAAAGATATTAGAAGACATCTATGGAGTAAGAATAAATATTATTTTATGAAGCTTTTGTTTCAGCTTTTAAAAAATATGTGTGTGTCAAGAGGAAGATATAAATGTTGAGTGTATTATTGTGGATTATGGCAAAACCACATATTTCAAAATACTGCATCCCAAATTTAGGAATCAGGCTGGGTTCAGCTCTGCTGCTTACTCATTCTTTATCATTATCTTAACATAAGAAGGTGTTGTACAGATTAAATGAAATAAAATATGTCTGTTACATAGTTAAACCTCAAAGGTTTTTTTTGTTTGTTTGTTTTTGGAAATCGTTGCACAGTTACTTTTCTGTTTTATTAATGTAGTTTTTACCTATGCCTCCGAACTCAGGCAGCTTGATGTCTTGTCTCTATGTGTAATGTAAATCATGTGGACAAAATCTTGGTTTGAGACATTTCATACCGCAGGGTTTAGGGTAAGTTCTCATCTATCCTTGTTTAAAGAAGCATTTTGGAAGGGCCTAAATAAATTGTTGCTAGCATTTAGCTCCCTTCCCTTGATATTTTTCTGCATCCCAGATTTATCACAAGTTTTTTAGGCACTAATTTTAGCAAAGTGAGGGTAGGAATATGGCTGTAGGGGTAGTTTTATTTCTTTGAGTTAGGTTGGATAGGAGGGCCTTTTATGTTTTATTGTTCTTGCCATAAAGATGTGTGAAATGAAATGGCTTGGTCAGATATCATGATATGCTTACTTCATGTTGGTATGACCTAAAAATGGTTGTCTTTTAAATAAAAAGTATGATTTTGGACACTTTAAAATCTGGGAATTAATAATGTTGAGCAGAAGGCAAAATGAGTTTGAATGTTACCACCTTATGGCATTGCATATGCTAGTTTCACATGACATAAAAAGGGGAAGTAAGTTGATAAGTATTGTTTTCTTAAAAGAGGAAACAGAATTAGTAGACAAGTGGATTCCTTTTAATAAAGTATGGTGGTGAATTGTTTAAAAATCCATGTATTCTGCAAATATTTATTGAGCATCTATCAAAAATATAGCATTAAGCTTTTAGGAAGCTTTTACACTGTACAACAGTTGACTTGGGAACAATGAGAGCATATGATTGGTGTTGTTAAAGTTTATATATCATAGCATGTGAATAACAAACTTACAATAGCTAATATTGACTATTTATTGTGGGACAAATACATTTCTAAGCAGTTTATATTATCTCATGTAATTCTCACAGTCATCAATGTGGTAGATAGTACAATTATCTCCTTTTTATAGATGGAAAAAGTAAGGCATCACAGATACGCTACCTGTGTTGTGTGAACTCAGCAAGTTACGTATCTGCGATGCCTTAGTTTTTCCATTGGAATTTGAATGCAGGTATCCTGAGTATATAAAGCCTCTCCATCTTGTGTCATATTTTATTAAAATATACAGAATGCTATTGGGTTATTTTGGATTCTTATTTACTGGTGACCTGGGGTAAACTCAGTTTCCTTAACACCTTCCTCATAGTGTTTTTGTTTGGATTAGGATAATTTGCAAAGCACTAGACAGAGTTTGTGTTCAGTAAATGATATGCCACAGCCTTTTCCTTTCATTGAGAATGTGGTCGTTTGGAAGATTGTTAGCAGTTGGAGAAGGGTGGGGAGGAAAGAGTTCCACACAAGGATACTACCTAAGCAAAGGTATATAGGTAGGAAAAGCAGAGTACATCTGCCAAGGTTGTATGTTTAAGGAACAGGCTGATAAAGACAGATGGATACAGATTATAGAGACCCTTAAATGCCATACTAAAGATTTTGTATATTATTTTTGGTTGTGAAGAACCCCTTTTCATGGATATTAGTTTGGGAACAGAGGCCCAGTAGAGGAGTAGAACTCTAGAGGTAGGAAATACCATCTAGTTTAGTTTAATTATAGTAGTTGAGGCAAGAAATGGTGATTGTAGTGAAGGGTATAGGGTTTAGATTTGAAAAATGTTGACATTGACATTGGGAACTGACAAGAGTATGGGCCTAAGACAGATTTTTAGATAGTGATACTATTAACGGAAATAAGGATATCATGATGAAGAACAGGTTTTGGTGGAAGGGGATTTAGGAGGACAGAGGATGATAGTAAGTTTAGTTTTGGAGCTGAGGAGTTGTTCAGACATTTGGAAATGTGAAATGAAAACTAGAATCTTTGTGTATTCCATAAACAGGAAGACACCAAATGCTTACATTGTGAGGAAGTCGCCTAAAGCAGTCATTTGCCTGTGGGTCAGAGTTTCACAGGAATGATGTGACTTCTGAAATTGCTCAGAGATATAAATTTCTCACATAGTAAAGATGCACTCATTATTTTTCTCTGTAGCTTATTTTGATTTGTGTCCTGAGAGGACAGGAGGGAAGGTAGTGGGGAGGGAAAATTTTGTAAACCTAGCAAAGCTCCAATTTATTATTTCAAAACAGAGCCAGTAAATTGGAGGCTAGGGATTCTCACACTAAAAATTTTGAAAGACGCTGTGATTTTTGTCTGGTGCCAGGCATTTATAAACATATGTTGAATGTTGAATTGTTTTAACTTCTCCAGATTTATTATGTTTGTTATCCCCCCTTTGTTACCCTAAATTGATCAATAACAAAACTTTTAAAATCGGAGAGCCTTTAATGCTCAGCAAATGTAGGTGTTCATTGACGTTTGATAGGAAGGAGGAGGTTAAGGCAGAGGCTAGATCTTAAAAATAATAAGTCAAATGCAGCAAGTATTAAGGACCCATGTACTCACTAGATTGAAGGTGGGGGGTAAAGAGAAGGGTGCTATGAATTGCATTGCTTGCTATGTCTATGAGATTTGAATAGAAATAAGGTTATATTATAGCTGAAAACATCAACATTAAGGGAACGTGAATGTTACCCAATTTGTCCATTAATTAACTGGGTGACTGCATAAATAACTTCACTTCTCAGTTGATTTCCTCATCTGTGAATGACGTAGTTGGAATTTTCCAGTTAAAAAATCTGCTTTTAAGACTTATGAAATGTCTATTGCACTGTTTCACTTTCCTAATGTAGATAAAATAAAGTTGATCATGAACTTCCATTGAATAAGCATCAAGCTAAATTTATACTCTTAGTGAGCGAACTAGTTGTTTAAAAAAGATGTCTACAAAATTAATGTTATGTTTGGTGCTATTTACTACTAAGACTGCATTATAATTTTAAAAAATAGAGCAAAATATAGCCTAATATATAGTTTTACTTTTGCTATTATGTAAAGGAAAAATAAGCCATAGTATTTTAGACCTTAATAATAGATCATAGTAGTTATTCACACTTTCATAGTTTAATTTATACAACAGTCACTTGCCTCTGATTATTGTGCTAGGTTCTAGGTATACAGAATCAGAAAACATGTGGTTCCTAACTTTAAGGAGCTTGAAGAATAATGAATAATGAACAATTTAAATTTGTTTTGTTACATTGTGGTGGCACAGAGAAGGCACGTAATGAGAGATTGGGAGAAGAGAAAGTTCACATGGTTAGAGTATAAAGACTGGAGAAATGGCAAGGGACTAAGCTGAAGACAAAGACAGGAGTCAGTTTATGAAGAACTTCTGTATTAAGTCACAATTTAGTTCTGAACTTTATTCTGAAAGCTGTTTAATTTGTTAAGGAATTTTATGCAGGGAGTAACACAATCAGGCATTTTTATATCTACCTTTACATTCCTCTTAAGATGGATCTATGAGGAAGATATTTATGTTATTTTTAAATATTTCAATGGTATAGATTTTCTTGGGGAAA